AAAAAACCCTGAAGAATCAGAGACCCAAATTTAGGTTATAACTCTACATTCACAGTTGTTATTCAGTCATTTCAGTCATGTCCAACTCTTCATAACCCCATTTTCAATTTTCTTGGCAAAGGTACTGGAGTGGTTTGCCATTTCCTTCTCCAGCTAATCTTCCAGATTAAGAAAATGAGGCAAACAGGGTTAAGTGATTTTCCCAGGGTCACACAGCTAGTAAGTATCTGAAGCCAGATTTGAACTCAGGAAGATAAGTCTTCCTGACTCCAGATCCGGTACTCTATCCACTATGCCATCTACCTGCCCTTACCATTCACAAGCTGTGCAGATTTGAGCAGATGTCTCAGTGTCTCAATTTCTTTGTCTGGAAAGAATAATACTTACTGGACCTAATTCATATGCTTATTAGGTAAAATACTTTGTAAACTAAACAGCAACATAAATAAGTTATTGTTATTAATTATTCAAGGGATTATTTAAAGGCACAAGTGATATTGGACATTTAGAACCAATACCTCTTATTATCTTATATTTTTACCACTTAGAAATCTCCCTTTCTTAAGGAAAAAGAAAGAGAGAATAGGGAAAGAAGGAGGAGTAAAGGAGAGGACAGGAAAGCTAGCCTTAGCATCAAGAAGACCTATCAAGTACTGCCTCTGACACATAGAGAAGCATTAATATCTACTTTGTTGCTGAACCCCAAAGACCATGGGACTTTGCCATCTAATTTTCAATTGAAACTTTCCATATGTGTTGCCTCTCCCATTACAATATGAACTTTTTTTATTAATTTATTTTGATTTATCAACAATCACTTCCATAAGCTTTTGAGTTTTAAATTTTTCTCTACTTCCCTCCCCAAGATGGCCCACAATCTGATATAGGCTATACATATACATTTCTATTAAGCATATTTTCATGTGTTGAAAGGAAGAACTAGAACTAATAGGAGGAACCACAAGAAAGAAGAAACAAAACAGAAGGGAAAAAAAGAGCGAATAGTATGCTTCAATCTGCATTCAAACTCCTAGTTTTTTCTCTGGATGTGGATAACATTTTCCATCATGAGACTTTTGGAGATATCTTAGATCCTTGCATTGCTGAGAAAAGCTAAGTCTATCAAAGTTAGTCATCGCACAGCATGGCTGTTACTGTGTACAATGTTCTCCCGGTTCTGCTCACTTCACTCAGCATCAGTCCATACAAGTCTTTCCAGGTTTTTCTGAAGTCTGTCTGCTCATCATTTCTTATACGCAATAGTAATTTCATTACAGTCATATATCACAACTTGTTCAGCCATTCCCCAATTGATGGGCATCCCCTAAATTTCCAATTCTTTGCCACTACAAAGAGAGCTGCTATAAATATTTTTGTACATGTGGCTCCTTTTCCCATTTTTATGATCTCTTTGGGATACAGCCTTAGAAGTGCTATTTCTCTTCACATTTCACAACTCCACCAACAACGCATTAGTGTTCCAATTTTCCCACATCTTCTCCAACATTTATCATTTTCCTGTTTTGTCATGTTGGCCAATCTGATAGGTATGATGTGGTACCTCAGAGTTGTTTTGATTTGCATTCCTCTAATCAATAGTGATTTAGAGCATTTTTCATATGAATATAGATGGCTTTAATTTCTTCATCTGAGAACTGCCTATTCATATCCTTTGACCATTTATCAATTTGGGAATGACTTGTAGAATATGAACTTCTTGAGAGCAAAGATTGTCTCCTTTTTCTGTTTGTACGCCCAATGCTGGGCATAATGCTTTGCACATAATAAGAGCTTAATAAATGCTTCATCCCTTATCCATTCAGGCTTTGGGATCATCTGCAAGTCTTTTCACATCTCTCTCCCGGGCATCTCTTCCAACAGTTCCAGGCAGAACTGTTGGGGAACTGCACAGTTAGAAGGGGGTCTACTCACCATGAGTTCCATACACCAGTAAAATCAGTTTCAGAAGGAAAAAAAAAAACAACTACTCTACACCTGGCATTTCTGCACATCTGCATTACACTGATAATTAATATTCATAGGGATGTTTCTGGGTCCCTGCAGCATCCAGAAGGAGCTACTGAAATATTTTTTTAAAAATTTGAAATCAACTGTCTAGTACCACTTACACAATGTATTGGTATCCACACTCTTTGAAAACTGGTAATCCATATATATTATAGTTGGGATTTCATTGTCACTGAGAATATTGGATTAACTCTCAACCATTCAGGATAACAGAAATTTTTAAAAATGTGCCATGTAGCATAACAGCAGCTCATATTTATATAGCATTTTAAATTATGGTGAGTAGTTTCCTTACAATTGCTTAACAAGAGTAAATGAAAATACTTTTCCCACTTCGTAGATGAAAAAACTGAGAAATTAAGTGTCTTGCCTGTGGTCACACTGGTGTGAGAACTAGGATTCAAAGTCAGTTTCTCTAAATCCAGATCTAGCATTATTAATGTTACACTCTACTGCCTTTCTACTAGACTGAATGCTCCCTGACAGCATGGATTGTGCTCTGCAATTCTTTGTGTTAAAAGTAAAATGGTAGTGAGTTCCTATGCTAATGATACAGAGCCTAGCAATTCAATTCCACACTTATTAAAGTACAACCATGTACCAACCATTGTGCTAGATCCTGAAAAAGCTATAAATAAAAACAAAATAAAATAAAATAAGCTGCAGTCTCTGTTCTAATGCAGCTTATGGTCCATTAGGGGGTAAAAGGCACATATATAAACAATGCTCTTTTATGCTGTGAGTATGGAAAGGCAGACATGTAGGGTATTCCCAAAATAGGTATTTAATCAAGATGTGTTGAACGTATCAATGAATCAATGGAGAAGCAGGTACAATTCATCTCTTACTTAGGCATAATATTATAAATGAGATCTATGCTCTCTCAAAGATGTTTGGTCTAACTATTCACTCAGGAAAAAACATGTGGATGAAGAAGGCCTATTTCTTAGATTATGCTGTGAAGGTGGATGGATAACCAGCAGAGTTCATTCATCAGTAATTACATATCTTGGTTACACATTGAAAAAAAAAATATTGGAAACAAGCTGAGCTAGGAATTTAGCAGAAGGAAGGGAGAAGGCTGGATTGCCCTTAGGGAATTGTTCACTGTTTTTACTGGCTCCCAAGCTTCTCTCTGAAACAAAAATCCCATCTCTTTTTTTTTTAACACTAGTGATCTTTCAATGATATTGAAGGGATACGAGTCATGCAATAGCATAGCCTCTGAAGAAATGATGTTGAAGATCACCCAAAAACAGTGAACAGTTGTACCGCAGGCACCAGTAGACAAAAATCTATTACAGACATGGAGAAAGTAGCATCACAGATGTCAATACAGAAATATATGACTAGAAAAACATATGGGTTGGTCATCTAGAAGTAAGGGATACCTATGTTCTCTGTTGGCATCTATGAAGTATGAAGATAACTCAGGGAAGGTTTCTTCCATCCCCCAGCCTATTAAGTAGACACCTGTTGGGAAATTTATAAGACATATTCAAGAGTCCCAAAAGGTAGGCTAGTATCCCTAATATCCTTCCCCTCAATTTATCAAGTGCAGTACTGTGCTAGGCCCTGGAGAAATAGAGACCTAATTAGCACAGTTCTTATTCTCAAGAAGCTTCTGCACTATCTGGAAAAACAACTTGAGGCATATAAAGGAATATAAACTATATACAAAATAAATTTAAAGTAATTTCAAAAGGTACTAGAAACTTGAGAGATCGGGCAAGGCTTCATGTAGGACTCATTTGTGCTAAACTTTGAGAGAAACTAGGGATTTGAATGGAAGAAAGAATGAAAGAGAAAACATACAAGTGTTTTCTTTCTGCCAGAAACTGTGCTAAGTGTGAAGGACTCAGACATAAAATTGAAACAGTGCCTGCTCTCTAGAAGCTTATTCAAATAGGAGACAACACATATAGGAGGGTTTAGTTGCAGGGAAAATGGAAAGTCCCCCATGGTCCTTAGGATGCAGTAGTAGGACAGATGCTAATATATTTTCTTTAGTATCAGTTTTGATTTTAAAAAATGTCCATTTCTGATGTTGAAACATTTGACAATGTCGAGGACTTTCTTGGCAAAAACATTCTTTTCTGGTTCTTCAGTAGCTCTGGCTACTGAAGAGGTAGGTGCCTACCTACAGGGGTAGTTTGAGTCATGTCTCCATAGGTTTTGCTGCCTGGTACCTGGCTACAGGGGCCAGGCTATAGGTTGAGTGGGTACCCTAGGGGTGTAAGTAAGGTCATGGACTGCTTCCCCCAGGCTCCTAGTGGAGGTGGTGGCAATGTTTTGACCCACTTGGCAGACACTCTCTCTTCTTTCTCCTATAAGAGAAGGAGGAGAAAAGGCAAGCTTTCTATGCCTGAAGAATAGCTTTAGTAAAGTACTAGAGAGGGCAGATAAAATGTTGTGCTTGAGAAAGAGCAAATAGATAAGTTTGGCTGAAGTATAGTATGTATGATGGATAGTAATGTATATTAAGCCTAGAAAGGTAAGCTGGAACTAGATTTTAAAGTCTGTAAAAGTCAAAGAGAGGAGTTTGTGTTTTCTCCTATAGACAATAATTGCCTGTTTCCCAGCATTCACTGAGGTACACTGGTTCAAATGGAAGCTGGCCTTTACCTCCCTTTCAGAAGCATTCCCAGGTAATTTGAATAACCCATCTAGGGTGACTGGTAGAAGATAATAGATAATGAAATAATTAGGAAGAGAAATGTGAAAATCCCTAATGTGAGCTGTAGATAACCTGCTGGGAGAGAAGAGACAAAGGGTACTGAACCATTGTAAGTCTGCATGGTATTGCAGACAGAGCCTTGCTTGAAAAAAAGGCAAAAAAGAGAGATTCTGTGCCCCACCAAAAAGCCTACCAAGCATAGTTTCAGGCTATATATAAAGAGTAGGTTTTAATTATCATTTTTTTGACCTGCATAAGAGACTTGTCTCATATGAATTCAGTTTGAGAGCCTGGGATTACCACTGTCTTCTGGAAGAGACCTGAACTGAAGATAATATAGATGCCTAAGAGCTGAGCAAGAACTCAACAGAAAGCAGACGACTCATATGAGTGCCATCCACTGAAAAAGAACTGAGGAGAGTAAGGAAGCCTGATCAGGAACCAAGCAAAAGAAAACAAGGGTTTGGAGGATGGTGGCAACAGTAAGACTCTCTCTGGGAACTCAGAAGAACTACAGCAGAGTGGGGGAGGATGACAGCAAATCAGAGGATAGTTGAAGGTAAAAAGTCCCTTCCCTCCAGGATTTCAAATTTGCATGGGGGAAAGCAACATCTGTTGAGGGCAGCTAGGTGGTACAGCAGATAGAGCACCAGACCTAGAGTTAGGAAGACTCATCTTCCTGAGTTCAAATCTGGTCTCAGACACTTCACAGCTGTGTGACCCTGAGCAAATCACTTCACACTGTTTTCCTCAGTTTCCTCATCTATAAAATGAGCTGGAGAAGGAAATGCTAAACCACTCTAGTATCTTTGCCAAGAAAACTCCAAATGGGATCACAAAGAGTCAGATGCAACTGAAAAACAGCTGAACAACACCATCTATTAATAATGGCAGCAGAGCTATAGGAGAGAAGACAAAGGACTCAAGAAAAGGAATGACATTCTATGTGACTCTTGTTCTCCCATAAATACTCCAAAGTGTGTTGATCAGGGGAGGTGTTGACCACCATTTATACTACATACTTCCATTCAACCTACTTGCTGTCTCCCTGTTCAATAGTTTCAGTCATGTCTAACTCCTTGAGACCCCATTTGGCATTTTCTTGGCAAAGATACTGGAATGGTTTGCCATTTCCTTCTCCAACTCATTTTATAGATGAAGAAACTGAGGTAAACAGGGCTAAGTGACTTACCCAGGATCACATAGCTAGTAAGTATCTGAAACTGGATTTGAACTCAGGAAGAGAAGTCTTCCTGATTCCGAGCCCATTGTTCTATCCATTGCACCATCTAGCTGACTACCCTTAGAGAGTACCAAATACTGAAGTCTCCAGGTCACCTGGTGGGGGCAACAATACAGAAAAAAGGAGGTCCGCAAAATACAGCCAGGTCCTTTGTGTGTCAGGAAGCAGTCTCTGACACAAGATGACACAGGCTAAGATCCATTAACTTTCAAGTTGTCACATCATGTTGTTGGCTTATACTAAGCTTATAGCTCTTTAAAACCTCATGTTCATTTAACATGGCACTTTCTTCTTTCCTTCCTCCCTCTCTACCTTCCCTCCTTTTTCTTTGTTTCTCTTTCTTTTTTCCTTTCTCTCTTTTCCTCTCTTTCTCCCTTCTGTCTTTTCCATTATATATGTACATATATATATATATATATATATATATATATATATATATATATATATATATATATATATATATATATCTTTTGCTACTTTGATTTATTTACATTCACTTTAGAGAAATGTTTCATGAATTTATCTACTGGAAAATTGGAAAAACTATATGATATGATAAAGAATAGAATAAGCAAAACCAGAATACTCTACACAATGACCATAACAATGGAAACAAAAAGAACACTAGAAGCAAGGCAAACTCTGAGTAACTGAAAAACCAACAATGATCCCAGAGAATAGATAATGAAACACGACTCCTTGTTCTTGGCAAAAACATAAGACACTAAGAGAGTAGAATGTTCTCTACATTGTTAGATATGGTTCCTTGATTCCTTTTGCTTAACCATGTTTATCTTATTACAAAGAAGGGTTCAATTTTGGGAGGTGGTGGGGGCAGTGAAATCCAGGAACAACTGTAAATATATAGCATTTTCATAGAGGCCATATTTTCATATATATTAACTTTATTCTAAATTTTAGTCAATTGAAAGGGCTTTTGAAAAAGGAGAATCATAGAGAGCAAATGGGAAGTCATTTGAATCTTTTTATAATAAAGCAAATATTTGTGGAGTGTCTAGAAACCATCTCAACACAAATGAGAAGGAGCCTCTTTGTTATGACCCCTCCATTACCGGTAGACTGGTAAACTCAGAGGGTGACAGACTTATGAATGACTACAAAATTAGTCAGGAGCCAGCAATCCTGATGGCAACAATGTCCAAGGAGTAGGGGAACAGTAAAGATTTTTAATTTCATGTCAGAGTAACACTGGAGGTCATAATGGTCTAATATCTGGCATAACAGAATAATAGAAAGAAATGAAAATTATTCTAATATCATCAATATTTTCTTCAATTTCTCACTGTAGCATGAAGGTGACTCCAGGTTATTCGAGGCTATGGCAACAGAGCCCAAGCTCTGGCAAATCTTACCAAGCTATAAAAGCTTGTGGAATGGTTGTTTGTCGTCAAAAGGTAAGCTAAGTGTGGAGAGACTCTGCAACATATTGGCTATGGGATAATGAATTTTTGGCCATTGCAACTCAGAAAAAAAAAACCTTAACATTAGAGCTGTCAAAAAGAGACCTGAACTGCCTCAAGAGACAGAGGGCTCCCCCTACTTAGATGTCTACCAAGTCATGAGGGAAGGGAGGAAACATAATCTGTATTGGCAAGAAGTATATACACACTAACGTCATCAATTCTTAAAGAATCACAGTATCATGGACCAGGAGTCAGGTGACATGAGTTCCTATTCTGAATTTGCTATTACTAATTGTGTAACCTTAGGCAATTCATTTCATATCTATAGGCCTCAGTCTCCTCATCTGTAAAAAGGAGGGAATGGGGGCGCAGCTAGGTGGTGAAGTGGATAGAGCACTGGCCCTGGAGTCAGGAGGACCTGAGTTCAAATCCAGTCTCAGACTAGACACTTAACACTTACTAGCTGTGTGACCCTGGGCAAGTCACTTAACCCCCAATTGCCTCACAAAAAAAAAGGAGGGAATGGATTTGATGACCTCCAAAATATCTTCCAACTCTAAAATAATAAGTTTCTTTGATATATGAAGTGTCTCCTTTACACTCAGATACCTTATGCCTTTGATGTAAATTCTGGATGGCATGTCATTCTGCCTTAAATCTTAGCTGAAAAAATCAATTAGCATAGTCTAGCTGGTAATTCCAAACTATATACCAGAACAAGAAGAATGATAGTGAATGAGCAATTTAGGTTGATAGCTACATCAACCACAGTACAGTTGATTAAAAATTTAACAGGTTTCCTGATGAATGTCTAGCTCAGATTTGGAAAACATCAACGGATTTAATTTTCCACGGACTAAATAATCACTTTATAAGCTATGTATAATTCATGTCGTAGCAACATTACAGACTTGTTAAAAATTACTGCAACTAAACAATTAATACTTATCCAGGGAACTTGGACTACTAAAGAACCATTTGTATGAATTATCTGGTACAAGATAACCAAAGACAAGTCAGTAACCATAGAATCTTTGAAAGCAAAATTTCTTCAGCTTTATTTCAGGGTTAACATGGACAGATTTCACCTCAGAGTCTCAGAATTAAATACTGCTGAAAATGAGGCCTTAACAAAAAAAGTTTCCCAACTTCCTTCCTCCAGTACCTTGTTCCAATAATCATCCTTCTTTCTTTTCTTTTAATATAGGGCTTAGCACATAAGTCCTACCTACCTCCCTTCTTCCCTCCCTCCTTTTCTTCCTCCCTCCCTCCCTTCCTTCCTTCTTTCCTTCCTTCCTTCCATCTTCAATCCCTACTTCCCTGTTGACTCCTTCCCATTAGCCAAAAACATTTCCAGATCTCCTCAGTTCCAAAGTAAAAACAAAACAAAACAAAACAAAATCATTTCCTTAACCTTCTACTCTTTATTATTCTCGTATCTGCCTCCTCTTCACTTTGGGGGGAAAAGTCATTTAGGGCAAAGTCAAGATGCCAAAGAAAAAGGTCACAACTATCAAACCTCCCCCTAAAATCTCTCCTACAAAATGACCACAGGAAACAACAAATAGAATTCTGAGTAGAAAAGCACACTCAGAAAAAAAAAAGTCACAATGAATCATGTTTCTAGCCTAGGGTATCTTAGGAAGACAGAAAAAGATGCCTGAAGACATTAGGGTAGGGGCTGGCTAGAAGCACAGCACAGCAGAAGCACAGCATGCCAATGGGCTGTAGGGCAGCAGCAGCTTCCAAGGTTGGTAAAGGGACTGAACACCTGGTTAGAAAGAGATCCTGGGTACCCCTGTACTAGCACTGGGAACAGGATTACATGAGATTTGGCAGCTCTGTTACCTATTACCCAGTTCCAGGTCACAGTTTTAAGGTGGTGAGGAAGGGTTAGATTCATGAAAGAGCAGATACTCTACCGGAGTAAGAACCACATGGAGAGGAAGAATGGGTGAAATTATCTCACATAAAAGTACACAAGGAAGTATTTTCACAATACTGGAGAAAGTTGTGGTAATGGTGGGGAGTGGGAAGCACTTGAACCTCAACTTCATCTGAATTGGCTAAAGGAGGGTAGTATTTATATAAACATACTTCCTGTTGGATTAGAAATCATCTTATCCAACAAAAAAGTAGGAGGGGAAGGAGCTAAGAGAAAGGGGCAGAGGGATAAGAGAGAGGGTAGATTAAGAAAGACAGTGGTCAGAAGCAAGTTAAAAAAAAAGGACAAATAGAAGAGAATAAAGTGGAGCTAGCAACCATAACTGTGAATGATAATAACATGAACCTATAAAATGAAAGAAAGTGGCAGAATGGATAAGAAACCAGAATCCAACAACATGTTATTTACAAGAAATAGTGTGTGTGCTTCTGTTTATAAGAAACAAAGACACAGAGTTAAAATAAGAGATTGGAATAGGTTCTATTATGTTTCAGCTGAATAAAAAAGACAGGGGTAGTTCACACAAAGTAAAGGCAAAAATAGATCTAATTAAAAGAGATAATCAGGGAAAGCACATTTTGCTAAAAGAAGGAAAAGTTAAATGAGTTACAGGAGCAAATACATTGTAACATTATACTAGTGGGGGACTTCAATTTACCCACTCTCAGACCTAGATTAATTTAATCATAAAATAAATTTAAAAAAAGTTAATAGGTAAGTAGAATTTAGAAAAGTTAAATAAGATAGACCTTTGGAGCACACTGCATGAGAATAGAAAGGAGTATACCATTTATTAGCCATGCATGACACATTCACAAAAATTAACCCTATATTAAGGCAGAAAAAACTCACAAATATCAACAAACAGAAATATTGAGTGAATCTTTTTTGGATCATAAGGCAATAAAAATTACATTCAATGAAGGGCTTTTTAAGCATAGATTAAAATTAATTGGAAACTAAATAATCTAATCCTAAAGAATGAGTGGGTAAAAAAACAAATCATGGAAACAATCTGCAATTTTATAAAGAAGAGACAAAACACTAAATGTGTGGGATGCAGCCAAAATAGTACTTACGAGGAAATTTACATATTTAAAGGCTTACATCAAAAAAAGCAAGAATAAGCAGATCAATTAATTGGACATACAACTAAAAAAAACTAGGAAAATAAAAAGTTAAAAATCTTCAATTAAACAACAAAATATAAATCCTAATGATAAAAGGAGAGATTAATAAAACTGTTTTTAAAAATTGAACTAAAAATTAAAACTAATTTGACTTTAAAAAGAAGAAAAACAAATTACGAGTATCAAAAATGAAAAGGGTAAATGCACAACCAATGAATATGAAATTAAAGCAATTATTAGGAGCTATTCTGCCCAACTTTATGCCAATAAAATTGAAAATCTAAATAAAATGGATGTTATATTTACTAAAATACAAATTGCCCAAAATAACAGAGGAGGAAAAGAATATTTAAATAATCCCATCTTAGAAAAAGAAATTGAACAACCATAAATGAGCTTAGAAATAAGATAAAGGACAGATGGACTTATAAGCAAATTCTTCTAAGCATTTAAAGAACAATTTTAATTTTAATTAATTTCAATGCTATACAAACTGTTTCAAAAAATAGGTAACAGAGTCCTATCAGATTCTTTTTACAACACAAATATGGTTCTTAAACTTAAATTGGGGAGAGCAAAAACAGAGAAAGAAACCTATAAACCAATTTCCCTAATGAATAGTGATTAAAAACTTTTAAATAAAATACTAGCAAGGAGATTACAGCAATATGATTACAAAAATCACACCTATACTATGACTGGTTTATGCCAGATATGTAAGGCTGTTTCCTTATTAAAAAAAAAAAGAAAGAAAAGAAAAAACCATAAGCATAATTAACAATACCAATAACAAAAAGAGTCATATGATTATATCAATAGACACAGAACAAGCTTTTGACAAAATATTACGCTGAGTTCTACCTGGAAAACCTAGAAAGCTTGAAAATAATTAGAGCTTTTCTTAAAATGATAAATAGTATTTATCTAAAACCATCAGCAAGCATTATCTGTAACAGGGATAAACTAGAAGCATTTGAGGCAAGGATGTCCATTAGTACTATTATTATATGTTATTGTACTAGAAATGCTAGCTATAACAACGACAAGAAAAATATATGAAAAAACAAAACTATCACTTTTTGCAAATGGTATGAACCCTAGAGAGTCAACTAAAAAACTAGTTGAAACAATGAACAGCTTTAGCACAATTGCAGGATATGAAATAAACCCACATAAATCATCTTCATTTCTATATATTACCAACAAAATCTAGCAGGAAGAGAAATTCTATTTAAAATAACTGTAGATAGTATAAAATAGTTGGGAGTCTACCAGCCAAGATACCCAGGAACTATACAAACACAATTACAAAACATGTTTCACACAAATTAAGATGGATCTAAATAATTTGAAAAATATTAATTGCATTGCTCAAGAGGAGGCTGAGCCAATATAATAAAAAGGACAATCCTATCTAAATTAATTTACTAATTCAGTGCCATACAAATCAAACTACCAATCAATTATTTTATAGAGCTAGAAAAAATAACAAAATTCATACAGAAGAACAAAAGGTCAAGAACATCAAGAGAATCAATTTTTTAAAATGTGAAGGAAGGTAACCTAGTAGTGTCAGATTTCAAGCTATATTACAAAGTGGTTATCATCAAAATAATCAGGTACTGGATAAGAAATACAGTGTTGGATGATTGGAATAGGTTAGGTACACAATATACAGTAGTAAATGACCATAATAATCTAGTGCTTCATAAACCCAAAGCACCAAGCTTTTGGGGCAAGAACTCATTATTTGACAAAAAAAATGCTAGGAAAACTGGAAATCAGTTTGGCAGAAACAGGTATAGACCAACATCTAGTACTGTATATCAAGTTAATATCAAAATGGTACATGCAATTAGACATAAAGGGTGATATCATAAGCAAATTAGGGGAGCATGGAAAACTGTACCTGTCAGACTTATGGATAAGGGAAGAGTTTATGACTAAGCAAGAGACAAAAATGATCACAATGAGTAGAATGGAAAATTTTTATTATATTAAATTAAAAAGAGTTTGTACAAATAGAAGAAATGCAGCCAAATTAGAAGGAAAACAGGAAACTTGGGCAGGGACACAGTGGGGTTGCAGCAAATTTCTCTGAGAAAGGCCTCATTTCTCAAATATATAGGAAACTGATCTAAATTTATAAAAATAAGATAAATGGTCAAAGAATGTAAACAGGCAGTTTTTAGGGAAAACAAATAAAACTCAATAGTCATGAAAAATGCTCAAAATCACTAATGATTAAACGAAAATGAAAACAACCCTGAGGTATCACCTAACACCCAACAGACTGGCTAAAATTACATTAAAAGAAAATGGCAGATGCTGGAGGGGAAGTAGGAAAATAGTTACACTAACACATTGTCAGTGGAGTTATGAAGTAGTCAAACCATTCTGGAGAACAATATGGTACTATTTCTAATGGCTAGAAAGCTGTGCATACTCTTTGACACAGCAAGACTCGTACTAGGACTATCCCCTAAAGAGATAAAGAAAAAAATGCACAAAAATATAGCAGCACTTTTTTGTGGTGGCAAAGAATTGGAAACTAAGTGGATGCTCATCAATGGTTCAACAAATTATGGCATGTGATTATGATGGAATATTATTCTACTATAAGAAATGATGAAGGAGATGGTTTCAGAAAAACCTGAGAAGATTTATATGAACTGATGCAAAATGACTTGAGCAGAATTAGGAGAACATTATACATAGTAACGGCAATATTGCAATGATAATCAATTATGAAAGACTTCGTCTGATCAATACAATAATCCATGACAATTCCAAAGGACTTATGATGAAAAATGCTATCTCCTTCCCATAGAGAACTAATAGAGCATATTTTTTCCTTTTTTTCTTGCTTTTTTTTTTTTTACAACATGTGGAAATGTTTTGCATGACTTCATATGTATAATGGATACTGTATTTCTTGTCTTCTCAGTGGGGAGCAGTGGAGACAAGGAGAGAATTTGAAACTAAAATTAAAAAAAAAAATTTAAGAGACTTAGCCTTAGAGATATTTCCCCAAAGAAGGTACAATAGTGAACTACACTTGTAGCCAATACATACATACATACCTAAATGTGTGTATGTATGCATACACATACACATTTAAATACATATTTGACAATTCAGGACTCCCTTTGTGTGTGGCAGTCCTTTAAAAAAAAACTTGCCTGAGCTGCTATTGCAAAATTCTTATTCTTATATTTTTATAAATATCTATCCAGGGTCATCATCATTATCAATAAATATATATTAAATACCTAAAAAGGAAAAAAAAAGAGAGAAGAAAAAAGTCATACCTGGAGTCTCCATTTCCTCCCCCCAAGTCTTCTTTTCTTCTAGCTAACTCTTTCCAGGTTCTTCCACTGAGCTTCATAGGTCATAATATCAAAGCCCTTTGCTATCCTGGTTATCATACCTTGGACACTCTCTAGCGGACATCCATGCCCCTCCTAAAATGTGTTACCTAAAACTAAACACAATATGCCAATTGTGGTCTAGTCAGGACAAAATGGACCAGGACTATCACTCCTCTAGTCCCTGGAAAATGCCTAAGATCATATTATGCTTTGAAGGTATCCATATAACTCCATTTGAACTTGATTCAGTAGAAGAGTCTCTGAAAATTTAGATCAGAAGAATGTGACTAGATCTACACGTAAGAAAATTTGGAGAGATAGAGGGCCTATTCCATGTTCTTGGCAATGGAATTAAAGAAGAGATGACCAATGCAAGAAAGAGGGGAGAGGCATAATTGATGAGACTTAGTCATCTGCTTTGATATGAGGAATAGGGAAGAGTCAATGATGAATATACAGTTTTGAAGACCACTTGAATGGTTATCCCATAGAGAGAAATAGTGAAGTCCAAAGAACAGATTTAGGGGGAAAGATGATAAACCCAGCTTTACCGAACACAGCCAAAACTCCTTCCCCACTACTTCCATCTAGCTTAGACTAGTTCTTTCTCTAAAAGGTGAGGAAACTGTCCCCAAGATTTAATTGGCTGCCAGAGCTTCCTGGTGGCATATGGCTATATTGACTTGGCTTCCACATCATTTACAGCGACAACAAGCCCTACCCACATGAAGTCAGGGAGCTTCACACTTGGCAGACGTCCTAAGCTATGCAATCCCCCACTCCTTTCCTTGCTGATCAGATGCATTTGGTAGAGAGAAGAGCTGTTTCTATACAAGCTAATTCCTGCGGTGTTTTCTACATTACAGCTCAGTAAACCTCTTTTTGTTAACTGTTGAGTAGCCCATAGGTATTTCTTTGTGTTTCAGTATCAAACCTAAACCAACAAGGAATTTGCCTGAGCTAGGTCTTCCCACAAAAGACACGTTGTATTGGAGGAGCTGGTGAGTTAACAAAGTACAGAAGTTCTGAAAGAAGTTGGAGATGCAGACACTCATTAGCTGTATGTTCCTGCATGAGTCACAACTTCCATTTGCCTCCGTTTCCTCAACTGTAAAATTGTGATAATAACAGCAACTACCTCAAAGAGTTGTTGTGAAGACCAAATGAGGTAAATTTGTAAAG